GAGGAATGGGCCAAAATACCAGCAACAGTGTGTGAAAACCTTGTGAAGACTTACAGAAAACGTTTGACCTGTGTCATTGCCAACAAAGGGTATATAACAAAGTATTGAGAAACTTTTGTTATTGACCAAATACTTATTTTCCACCATAATTAGCAAATAAATTCATTAAAAATCCTACAATGTGATTTTCTGGAATTTTTTTTCTAATTTTGTCTTTCATAGTTAACGTGTACCTATGACGAAAATTACAGGCCTCTCTCATCTTTTTAAGTGGTAGAACTTGCACAATTGGTGGCTGACTAAATACTTTTTTCCCCCACTGTACATGTAACTGCCAAAAATAATGGAAACATGAGTAAATGAGGGATACAAAGTATATTAAAAGCAGGTGCTTCTGCAGGTGTGGTTCCGGAGTTAATTAAGCAATTAACAACCCATCAAGCTTAGGGTCATGTATAAAAATATTGGACAGGCCATTATTTTTGGCTACTGTGTTAGTCGGAACTAGGAAACTGAAATCTTCGACCCAACGCCCTGTTAAGACACTTTATGTTGGTGTTTCTTTTATTTTGGCAGTATCTCCTATGCTACACACGGATAGAGGACACTTCACCATTGTTATTCTCCCTTCCGGGAAGGCTACAATGCCCTCCCCCGCCCTCACTTTAGCAAATCAGATCATGCCTCCACCCTGCTGCGTTCAGCCTATATGCCAGGGTTTCCCAAACTCGGTCCTCGGGACACAAATGGGTGCACGCTTTTGTTTTTGCCATAGCACTACACGCTGCTATAGACAGAAATTAAAACAGGAAGCACCCGTGGTAAGGACCATCGGTGGAATTACCCATCGGAATCTGTGCTACAGGACTGTTTTGATCACGTGAACTGGGATATTTTCTGTGTCGGCTCTGGGGAATAACATTGATGATTACACTGACTCGGTCACTGGGTTCATCAGGAAGTGCATAGAGGATGTTGTTCCTACAGTGACGATCAGAACATATCCAAACCAAACACTGTCGATAGATGGCAACAATCGAGCAAAACTAAAAGCGCGAACCACTGCATTTAACCATAGCAAGGCGGCCGGGAACATGGACGCGTACAAACAGGCCAGCTACGACCTCCGTAAGGTGATGTAAGTGTATGTAAACTTCCGACTTCAACTGTAATTTTTCCAACAATTGTTTACAGACAGATTATTTAATTTATAATTCACTGTATCACAATTCCAGTGGGTCAGAAGTTTACATACACTAAGTTGACTGTGCCTTTAAACAGCTTGGAAAATTCCAGAAAATGATGTCATGGCATTAGAAGCTTCTGATAGGCTAATTGACATAATGAGTCAATTGGAGGTGTACCTGTGGATGTATTTCAAGGCCTACCTTCAAACTCATTGCCTCTTTGCTTGACATCATGGGAAAATCAAAAGAAATCAGCCAAGACCTCAGAAGAAAAATGGTAGACCTCCACAAGTCTGGTTCATCCTTGGGAGCAATTTCCAAACGCCTGAAAGTACCACGTTCATCTGTACAAACAATAGTATGCAAGTATAATCACCATGGGACAGCATCATGCTGTGGGGGTGTTTTGCTGCAGGAGGGACTGGTGCACTTCGCAAAATAGATGGCATCATGAGGAAGGAAAATTATGTGGATATATTGAAGCAACATCTCATGACAGTCAGGAAGTTAAAGCTTGGTCGCAAATGGGTCTTCCAAATGGAAAATGACCCCAAGCATACTTCCAAAGTTGTGGCAAAATGGCTTAAGGACAACAAAGTCAAGGTATTGGAGTGGCCATCACAAAGCCCTGACATCAATCCTATTGAACATTTGTGAACTGAAAAAGCGTGTTTGAGCAAGGAGGCCTACAAACCTGACTCAGTTACACCAGCTCTGTCAGGAGGAATGGGCCAAAATTCACCCAACTTATTGTGGGAAGCTTGTGGAAGGCTACCCGAAACATTTTACCGAAGTTAAACAATTTTAAAGGCAATGCTACCAAATACTAATTGACTGTATGTAAACGTCTGACCCACTGGGAATGTGATGAAAGAAATTAAATCTGAAATAAATCATTCTCTCTACTATTATTCTGACATTTCACATTCTTAAAATAAAGTGGTGATCCTAACTGACCTAAAACAGGGAATATTTACTAGGATTAAATGTCAGGAATTGTGAAAAACTGAGTTTAAATGTATTTGGCTAAGGTGTATGTAAACTTCCGACTTCAACTGTAGTTAAATATTTAATTGCATATGTCTGGCATCGTAAGAGTATTTCTAACCACACTTTAGGAGAGAATATTTCTACTTCACATATTTCTGCAAAATGTTTCTGGATAAACATTAATGGTTATATTTTAACATCTAATAACCTTTATTTATACTACAAAACTGAACACAAAGATAAAGGCTGTTTAATAATTAAACTTTCAAGGTGAAGTTGAAATAGGATAACTACCAACCGTATATTTTCTGATGATAATATACAGTATTCCCCATGTAATCACATTATGCTGCAATGTGATTGCAGCTTCCTTGGTTCAAGCAAAATATGTATTGGTCAGTTTGCTTTTTGCTTGTTTTGTAAAACATTTTTACCAAGCTGAGTTTAGTCTTCACATGACATTGGTTCATTTGTTCTCTAATTATCCACTAAACAAACATCTGAATCTTATTGCTACTACTCTCTAATTAAAGATTTGGGGGGGGTTAATGGTGAAGTTTATCATCTTCAAATGTTGACCGGACTAGTGTATAAGTGTATATTGCCATGGAAACATGCCCCATTCAAACAACTAGTCATTTCTGCACAGGATATACAGTAGGAACATCAGCTTTCAATTTGTATATTCATTGGGAGAGTAAATACTTTCCTTTTTATGCTGAAGAGAGGATACTCAAGCTAATCAAGGTAATGATTAGTGTAACCGTTTTACTACTTGACCAGAGTAGTAGAGGGGTTAAATGAATGTTGTTTTTTACACTTTATCAGTGACATTTATTTTACTTTTTCAGAAATGAAGTAAAATGAAGTGGAGATTCTGAGGACCACCATTTGTTTTCTTTGTGGTGATAGTAACATCTTCCAAATCAGTAAGTGTGTCTCCATTTATAGAATACTTTTATCATTGTCTTTCTTCCTATAACTATTGCACCATACTGTCTAAGATTACATAAAGTGAATAGAGACAGTGTAAAAGGTATGCTGTGTTTGTCTTGTGAAGGAACATTTTATGTTAGTGCTTTTATTCCTTTTTTTTTTTTTACCCCCTTTTTCTCCCCAATTGCGATCTTGTCTCATCGCTGCAACTCCCACACGGACTCTGTAGAGGCGAAGGTCGAGTCACGCGTCCTCTGAAACATGACCCGCCAAACCGCGCTTCTTAACCAGCCAGCCGCACCAATGTGTTTCAGGAAGCACAGTTGTGGTCCTCTGTAGCTCAGCTGGTAGAGCACGGCGCTTGTAACGCCAAGGTAGTGGGTTCGATCCCCGGGACCACCCATACACAAAAATGTATGCACGCATGACTGTAAGTCGCTTTGGATAAAAGCTTCTGCTAAATGGCATATTATTATTATTAGTTCAACTGACGACTGAAGTCAGCCTGCAGGCGCCCACCCCGCCACAAGGAGTCGCTAAAGCGCGATGAGCCAAGTAAAGCCACCCCAGCCAAACCCTCCCCTAACCCGGACGACACTGGTTGTGACACAGCCTGGGATTGAACCCGGCCTTAGACCGCTGTGCCACTCGGGAGGCCATATCTCAGTTTCAAGGTCTCAGCTTGGAGAGAAAAAGCCTTGTAAGGTATTGTTCGGTCACATGCATGAACCAAAAGTTGATGAATTAATTATGAATAATGTAAATCATGCAAATATAACTTGACTGTGTAAGCAGTTTAAGAGAACTAATGGGACTGCCCCGACAGAGCTCCTGACAGACGTGTACTACTTGGTGCACAAGTTTGTTGGAACCTCTCCAGTTAACTGATCAATTAGTATAATTTGATGGGTTTTCTATACATTTCACAGAATGTTCGTTGCAGTTTTTATAAAGAACACTTTACAACTACTATTATCTTCTATATTTCTTTTGGGATTACTGTGATACAAATATGAAATAACATTCAGCACAATCATGGTATTTATTATTCATTACAGTTAATGTCACCAAATCCCAAAACCTGCATCAATGAATGACACCAAAGGCAATACATATGCAATATTTTTATTCTCTATTTCTTATGTTTGAGCAACAATGCTGACAATATGAGCTAAGCATAGAGTGAGATATAGTTGCCAACAGCCATTGTCTAACTGCAGTAATTATCCAATAATTTACATACATGTGTTAATCATGATAATCCACTCCTCTAAGATTAATATTCAACTCAAACATGGAATGAACACAATTTGATGTTAAACCGTATCTAAACTATTTCAAAATACCTGAGTTTTACAAACAGAAATTAAATCCCATTACCATTGTAAAATGTCAGTCTGAAGCATTTAGTTAGGCTTTTAGACAAACAAAGCCCCCCCCACCCACACACACATAACTCTAAATCATTTTGTGAATGCATTATTGACAGACATTAATCCATTCCAATTTGGGACAAAATGGGAAATAAATTATGTGTGGCTGACTATATTTAATTCCTCATTCAAAATTATCTTCTGCTGGCCTTTTATCTGAGAAACAAATGGATCAATAGCAATGTCTTTATAATGGGTATGTAATAGAAATTCAATCCCAAAACTGCTGTACAACACACTAGAAGGAGGATCCAAGTATGGGACCCTGAGGTCCTGGACCCAGGTTCTGGAACCCAGGCATGACTACCTGTACTCTTTGCAGAGCAATGTTGGGAAAGAGGTGGATAATGTAGTTAAGTCTGCGTAGACTGGGGAAGTAATGTGGAGCATAGAGAACTAGGGGGTGGAGTCCCAATGTTCTCTCCATATAATTAAAATGATAGGTATTCTAATTCTATGGTTCTGGTACTGGGGACTGGGGCTGCTGCTCTGGCTCTTGCTCCTGGGGCTGTGGTTCCTGTGTCTGTGGTTCTTGGGGCTGCTGTATCAGTCCCCCATCCTGTGCTGTGTTGTAGGACCCACAGCCACTGCACTTCATTCCCAGAACATGGAAAGGCACCGTACAGTGGGTTTGGCAGTCATTACATATGATCTACAGTCAGGGAAAATGAGAAACCGACAAAACCATGTTGTGAGGCAGAAGTAGTGCTCAATACTGAAACTTTAAAATAAGTTGAAATATCCCTTGAATATAAAAGCCTGAAGTGAGTCATAAAAGTAAACCTACACCAGATCAGTGTAGTCACAGTATCCCAGAACACAAGGAACAACAATAATTGAGGTCATTTGTTTTTTAAAGTTCAATTTCACATTCAAAGTAAATACATTTGTGTCATACCTTCACAGTGGCATCCTGGTATTCAGTGGGCATGGGTGACTGAGTGATCTCCTTGTCCATCAGCTCCCAGTCGCCCTCCATATTCCAAGCGGAGTGCATACAGAGTGGGCATCGATACGCACTGAAGATGACATATAGAGGCAATATTGCTGGTCACGCAGATCGTCATTGCTTATATGAATGTCATGCAGATGATATGATTGATAAGTTATAGACAGTAATTGGGATTAATATATGATAACTAGCACAATATTTGAAAAGGACTATGGACCTTACCCAGTTCGGACCATATCACGAAAGCATGTTCTGAAAAACAAAAGAACCAGTGAACATTCTAAACATTGTTTAATAAACCAGAAGACAAGAGTAAGACTCCAGTAATGCACCTGCTGTATCATCCATCAGATGAACAGTGGCATCAATACACACGTGTGTAGGTCTTATAGGCTAATGACAAAGGTTTTGAGAGTATTTATCATGAGGAAAATGTCATACTTGTGTAGAAGATGGCCACATGGAAGAACGTGAGCTCCTATTCTGGATGTGTGGATATCCTTAATTAGAGAAAAGACAAAAACATTATATATCTATGATAAACCATTAGAGGAAAAGTACTTATGAAATTGTAAAATACAGGCTGTGTGAATTTCTATATACACAATTGTATACTAAATTACATAATAAAGTGAAATACACAGCAATCGTGTTACTGATCTTACTATTCATTAATTTACCTCCATACACACTGGGCAGTTCTGTCTTGAAACATTTTCAACACACTGAAACAAAACAAACAGTCTATAACTGATAAATCAAGTGAAAGACAAGAGCCATGGCATTAGCAATATTGTATTGACAATGTACACAAAAGCAACAGATATAATAAGGGCCATAGTAGGGGTTGACAATCACCTTGTGATTTCCTCGTAGATTACCGGCTAAACAGAGATTGCACTTCTCACAGTGGAAGTATTTCTCCCTTGGCCCGATCCTGCAGGAGTACAAAACATAACTGTACATATTGGCTACGCTATTCAAGTGTTTTAAGACACCAATATGCAAATAAAACAAAGATCTAAAACATGCTGGTGGCCAGCAGCTGGTCAGACATATCAGCTGATGAACATGGGTGAACTATATATGGGAACGTTAGTCGTAACACAAAGTCAAATAGGGCAGAGTTACTCACCTGCATATTCCACAGGGCTGACAGTGATACTGCTTCTTGTCTTGATCAAACAGGTGACATATATCACAGTAATATTCCCCAAATGTCACATTACACTCCTGGCAAGTATGTTGTGCCTGAAAGAAGAACCAGATGAAATAAAATAAACAAACAATGGGACCATATTGATATGTTGAATGAACAGTATAGTTGGGACTCAGAGACTGACAACAGTTCCCCTTTAACAGAATTACCTGCTGTACTGTGTTGCAGACTGAGCACTGCACTTCTTTGACCAGGAAGCGGTCCATTTGATGGTCCTCCTCAGCATCATGGCACAGGCGACAAACATATGCTTTACCACAACAGGGAGCCTGAGGGAGATAACCAAGTTTGGAAAGGGCTTGATAAAACAAACCAACACATTAATTTGTTGGTGTCAAGAACCTTGATGCTAACACATTTGTGAGAGTAACCTCAGGGTTACCTCTATTCATGACGAAATAATGAATTCTGACATGAACTTCCTTAGCTCGCTAGCTAACGTTAGATGACAAGCAATTTTTGACAGTGACAAGCCGATAGCTACTCAGATAGCCTGGCTTAATATACGAATGACACCAAGCAAACTACTGCTGGATGAATGTAAAATATAAATACAATATGAACTTAGCTAGCTAATTTAACGGTGACAAGCCGCGATAGCTAGCTACTGGCATAATATACGAATGGCACCTATCAAACTACTGCTACATTGATGTAAAATATGGATACAATATTTCCAACTACAACAATTTATTTGTTATAAACATTTTCTGATGGGTTGGCAAACACGGTTTTTCATTTGACCTGACATATTTAAATGAATCTCCTGTTCAGATAGTAAGCTAGCCAGCAAGCTAAAGCGTTAGTTGGCTAAGTTTATAGCAGGTCTGTTATGAGCAAAACACGTTAGCTACATAAAGCAGGATACATTAAAATAAGACCATCAATAACATATGCGTCTTAATATCTGGTAGAATTAACACTTGCTCATAAATACTATTTCCTACTTTCAGCAAACAGCTGCGCACGTAGTGGTCGCATCCAACGCGAGAAGCCATTCTTCTCCTTCTTCTCCTTCTTCTTCTTCTTCTATGGTATTTTGGTGGTCCACAAACATACGTTAAAGTTGCATGCCGCCACTTACTGTATGGGGTGAAAACTGGGGAACTTCAGGCAGAAGAACACGGGAAAATATGGAAAGGGTAAAAAAAAAAAAAAAAAAAGTTAAACATACTGATATTGCTTTTAAATATACTTAAGTATCAAAAGTAAATGTAATTGCAAAAATATACTTAAGTATCAAAAGTAAAAGCTATTTCAAATATTTTTTTACTTTTGATACTTAAGTATAGTTAAAACAAATATCACAACTTTTACTTTTACTTCACTACATTCCTAAAGAAAATTATGTATTTTTTATTCCATACGTTTTCCTTGATACCCAAAGGTACTCGTTACATTTTGAATGCTTAACAGGACAGGAAAATTGTCAATTTCATGCTGGTATCAAGAAAACATCACTGGTCATCCCTACTGCCGCTGATCTGGAGGACTCACTAAACACAAATGCTTTGTTTGTAAATGATGTCTGCAAATGTAAAAAACAAGAAAATTGTGCCTGCCTGGAGCCAGGGGTACAACATGCAAAAAAAAAAAAAAAAAAATGTACAGATACCCCAAAAAATTACTTAAGTAGTACACCACTGAATGTTTCAGCAGTAAAGTTCTGGGGCCTCATTTATCAATCACGCGTATAATTAATTTAACCACACCTGTGTTTCATTACAAAAACGGAGAGCCACCTCTGTCCAGTGAAGTCCACAAAGCATATTGCATGTAACAAACAGTTATATGACCTACAACATGGTCAAGCAAGTTAATGTTTCCGACATTAACAAACTATAGTTCTGTGCATGACACAAGTAATGTGGCTCTTGTCTTTCACTTGATTTTACGCATAATTGATAAACGAGACCCCTGGAGATCCAAAAACCTTTTCGCTGCATTCACGATTATGCCAAGTTTCTTCGATTTCTTGTTTGTTTTCACTATCAGTATTTCAGAATCCCTCAACTGATGAACAACACTTTCTGCAGGTTGCGGGTTATCCATTGCCATTTCTTCCTTATTTGCTCCTTCTGCTATTTGCACTGCATCTGCATAGGAGATCTGATGGACAGCCTGGATTCTTTTTTTATATACAGTGGGGAGAACAAGTATTTGATACACTGCCGATTTTGCAGGTTTTCCTACTTACAAAGCATGTAGAGGTCTGTAATATCATAGGTACACTTCAACTGTGAGAGACGGAATCTAAAACAAAAATCCAGAAAATCACATTGTATGATTTTTAAGTAATTAATTTGCATTTTATTGCATGACATAAGTATTTGATACATCAGAAAAGCAGAACTTAATATTTGGTACAGAAACCTTTGTTTGCAATTACAGAGATCATACGTTTCCTGTAGGTCTTGACCAGGTTTGCACACACTGCAGCAGGGATTTTGGCCCACTCCTCCATACAGACCTTCTCCAGATCCTTCAGGTTTCGGGGCTGTCGCTGGGCAATACAGACTTTCAGCTCCCTCCAAAGATTTTCTATTGGGTTCAGGTCTGGAGACTGGCTAGGCTACTCCAGGACCTTGAGATGCTTCTTACAGAGCCACTCCTTAGTTGCCCTGGCTGTGTGTTTCGGGTCGTTGTCATGCTGGAAGACCCAGCCACGACCCATCTTCAATGCTCTTACTGAGGGAAGGAGGTTGTTGGCAAAGATCTCACGATACATGGCCCCATCCATCCTCCCCTCAATACGGTGCAGTCGTCCTGTCCCCTTTGCAGAAAAGTATCCCCAAAGAATGATGTTTCCACCTCCATGCTTCACGGTTGGGATGGTGTTCTTGGGGTTGTACTCATCCTTCTTCTTCCTCCAAACACGGCGAGTGGAGTTTAGACCAAAAAGCTCTATTTTTGTCTCATCAGACCACATGACCTTCTCCCATTCATCCTCTGGATCATCCAGATGGTCATTGGCAAACTTCAGATGGGCCTGGACATGTGCTGGCTTGAGCAGGGGGACTTTGCGTGCGCTGCAGGATTTTAATCCATGACGGCGTAGTGTGTTACTAATGGTTTTCTTTGAGACTGTGGTCCCAGCTCTCTTCAGGTCATTGACCAGGTCCTGCCGTGTATTTCTGGGTTGATCCCTCACCTTCCTCATGATCATTGATGCCCCACATGGTGAGATCTTGCATGGAGCCCCAGACCAAGGGTGATTGACCGTCATCTTGAACTTCTTCAATTTTCTAATAATTGCGCCAACAGTTGTTGCCTTCTCACCAAGCTGCTTGCCTATTGTCCTGTAGCCCATCCCAGCCTTGGGCAGGTCTACAATTTTATCCCTGATGTCCTTACACAGCTCTCTGGTCTTGGCCATTGTGGAGAGGTTGGAGTCTGTTTGATTGAGTGTGTGGACAGGTGTCTTTTATACAGGTAACGAGTTCAAACAGATGCAGTTAATACAGGTAATGAGTGGAGAACAGGAGGGCTTCTTAAAGAAAAACGAACAGGTCTGTGAGAGCCGGAATTCTTACTGGTTGGTAGGTGATCAAATACTTATGTCATGCAATAAAATGCAAATTAATTACTTAAAAATCATACAATGTGATTTTCTGGATTTTGGTTTTAGATTCCGTCTCTCACAGTTGAAGTGTACCTATGATAAAAATTACAGACCTCTACATGCTTTGTAAGTAGGAAAACCTGCAATATCGGCAGTGTATCAAATACTTGTTCTCCCCACTGTATATATATATTTTTTATTATTATTCTTTTGGAGGGGGGGGGGGGGGGGGGGGGGTAGATCAGCTTTAATATTGCAGATAGATTGTAACTTCCATCAATGTAATTGTCTGCATCACTTCCAATCCCCCATGTTTTTTTCCACATATACACTACAATTCAAAAATGTGGGGTCACTTAGAAATGTCCTTGTTTTCGAAAGAAAAGCACTTTTTTTATCCATTAAAATAACATCAAATTGATCAGAAATACAGTGTAGACATTGTTAATGTTGTAAATGGCGATTGTAGCTGGAAACGGCAGATTTTTGATGGAATATCTACATAGGCGTACAGAGGCAAATTATCAACAACCATCGTCCTGTGTTCCAATGTTACGTTGTGTTTGCTAATCCAAGTTTATCATTTTAAAAGGCTAATTGATCATTAGAAAACCCTTTTGCAATTATGTTAGCACAGCTGAAAACTGTTGTGCTGATTAAAGAAGCAATAAAACTGGCGTTCTTGAGACTAGTTGAGTATCTGGAGCATTAGCAATTGTGGGTTCGATATCAGGCTCAAAATGGCAAGAAACAAATAACTTTCTTCTGAAACTTGTCAGTCTATTCTTGTTCTGAGAAATGAAGGCTATTCCATGCGAGAAATTGCCAAGAAACTGAAGAGCTCGTACAACGCTGTGTACTACTCCCTTCACAGAACAGCGCAAACTGGCTCTAACCAGAATAGAAAGATTGGAAAAAAGTGTTATGGACAGACGAATCGAAGTTTGAGGTGCTCAGATCACGAAGAAGAACATTTGTGAGATGCTGACCAAATGAAAAGATGCTGGAGGAGTGCTTGATGCCATCTGTCAAGCATGGTGGAGGCAATGTGGGAGATTTGTACAGGGTAAAAGGGATCTTGAAGTAGGAAGGCTATCACTCCATTTTGCTATGCAATACCCTGTGGACGGCGCTTGATTGGAGCCAATTTCCTCCTACAACAGGACAATGGCCCAAAGCACAGCTCCAAACTATGCAATAACTATTTAGGGAAGAAGCAGTCAGCTGGTATTCCGTCTATAATGGAGTGGCCAGCACATTCACTGGATCTCAACCCTATTGAGCTGCTTCCTGAAGCAGCTTGACCGTATGGTACGTAAGAAGTGCCCATCAAGCCAATCCAACTTGTGGGAGGTGCTTCAGGAAGTACGGGGTGAAATCTCTTCAGATTACCTCAACAAATTGACAACTAGAATGCCAAAGGTCTGCAAGGCTGTAATTGCTGCAAATTGAGGATTCTTTGACGAAAGCAAAGTTTGAAGGACACAATTATTATTGATATAAAAAATCATTATTTCTAACCTTGTCAATGACTACATTTCCTATGAATTTTGCTATATTTCCTATTCAAACTCATTTCATGTATGTTTTCATGGAAAACAAGGACATTTCTAAGTGACCCAAAACTTTTGAACGGTAGTATATATATATACATATACACATACATACATATCGTTTAAAAATATATACAGTGGGGAAAAAAGTATTTAGTCAGCCACCAATTGTGCAAGTTCT